GCCAATCGCGCCCACATAGGCCCCAGCCCGCAGAGGCCCCAAGCGCGCCCACAGAGGCCCCCGCGCGCTGCTCATTGAGGCCCTCCGACACAGCCCACAGAGGCCCCAAACGCGCCCACAGAGGCCCCAGCTCGCAGCGGCCCCAAGCGCGCCCACAGCGGCCCCGACGCGCTGCCCACTGAGGCCCCCGACAACGCCCACAGAGGCCCCAGCCCACAGAGGCCCCAGTCCACAGAGGCCCCAAGCGCGCCCACAGGTCCCAGCGCGCTGCCCACTGAGGCCCCCCAACACAGCCCACAGAGGCCCCAATCGCGCCCGCAGAGGCCCCGGCGCGCTGCCCACTGAGGCTCCCCAGCGCAGCCCACAGCCGCCCCAAGCGCGCCGACAGAGGCCCCAGCCCGCAGATGCCCCAGGAACGGCGCTCTCCCATGATCCTTACTCAGGAACAGCGCTTTCGCTGGAGAATTCCTGGCAACTCAGTCAAATTAGTGGGGGCGCAGCCGCGATGACAAGGGCTCCCGCTCGATGCTTCCTCGCGATTTGCTCCGAGAGGCCCTTTCTCGTGGTCCATCCTTCTCTTCCCCCATCCGTCCCCCTTCCCCCTGTTTTAGGGGCTGCGCTAAATGTGCGTGGCAGGTAAGGAGGATATCCCCCGAGGGGGTACGGTCGAAGACAAAGAGGGCGGGTTTCGAGAGTTTGGGATATACGCGTTGCGTGGCACGCGATCGACTAAGAACAAACAGTCCTACAATTATTGTTGTTATCGTTGTTGTTGTTATTGTCGTTGTTGGTTTCATTGTTGTTGTTGCTGCCGCTGGTGCTGTAGCTGTAGCTGTAGCTGTAGCTGTAGCTGTAGCTGTAGCTGTAGCTGTTGTTGTTGTTGTTGGTGTTGCTGCTGCTGCTGCTGCTGTTGTTGTTGTTGTTGTTGTTGCTGCTGTTTCTGTTGTTGCTGTTGTTGCTGTTGCTGTTGTTGCTGTTGTTGCTGGTGCTGCTGTTGTTGTTGTCGTCGTCGTTGTTGTTGAACTTTCATTTTTGAGAAATAACTATTGTTGATCCCCCTCACCGGTGCATACGGTTTTTCTCAATCAAAGTGTGCCCCTCGACGCTCGCACCCTGTTTTTTGGCAGGGAAAGTCTTGGTGCTCAAACTGTGCCCCTGGCCCCCCGGATTACAACAACAACGGCTCGCGCTTGAGATTTCCTCCAAATTTACTCAGTACCCCCGCTCTTGAGACTTCCTGACAATTTACTCAGGATCGGTGCTCACGCCTGTGACTTCCTCGCAATTTAGTCAGGACCCCCGCTCCCATTTGAGACTTCCTCACAATTTACTCAGGAACGGCGCTCGCGCTTGAGACTTCCTCGCAATTGAGTCAAGACCTCTTCGCAATTTAATCGAGACCCTCGCTCCCGCCAGAGAACCCCTCACATTTTATTCAGGAATTGCGCTCTCGCTTGTGACTTCCATGCGATTTATTCAGAAATCGCGCATTCGACGCTCAGGAAACAAGCTGCGCCCAGGACGCCGTTACACTTTACTTAGTAATCGCGCTCTCGCCATACTCAGGCATCCCGCTTGAATGTCCCACCCGCCCGACCCGCCCGTCAGGGGATCGCCCGCCCGCCGCGGGCTCCCGCCCGAGACTTCCTCCAGGAACGGCGCTTTCGCCTAGGACTTCCTCGAACGCTCACGCTCTTACCTTCCTGCTCCTCCTCCCTCTCCCTCCTCCCTCCTCCCTCCTCTCCTCCCTTCTCTCTCCCTCCTCTCTTCCCTCATCCTTATGCCTCTCTGCCCTATCCCCTCTCCCTCCTCTCCCTCCTCCCTTCTCCCTCACCTCTCCTGCCTCCTCCCTCCCTTCTTTTTTTTGTTTTCTCTCTCTCTCTCTCTCTCTCCCCCCTCTCTCTCTCTCTTTCTCTCTTTCTCTACCCCTTATATATATATATTCTCTATATATGTACATCTCCCTCCCTGTCTTTAATCAACCGCCCCCTTCTTCGCTCCTTCTCTCCTGGCGTTTTCCCTCTTCCTTCGTCCCTCCCCACTTCCTCCCATTCTCCCTCGTTGTCCCCCTTCTTTTTTTTGCATGGCCCGCACTAGTTCCAATGGCGGGCACATGTACGCCCACGAAGGATTGTCCGCCCGTTCAGGTTTGACCGCCTGTGTAAGCCCGCCGCCCCCGCAAAGAGAAATAATCCCCCTAAAGGGGGTGTGATCGAAGACAACAGGGGCGGGTATCGAGGGTGTGGGGAACCCATTTTGGATGACACACGGGCAAGTAAGAGCGAACAGTTCTATAATGATTGCTGCTGCTGCTGCTGCTGCTGCTGTTGTTGTTGTTGTTGTTGTTGTTGTTGTTGTTGTTGTTGTTGTTGTTGTTGTTGTTGTTGTTGTTGTTGTTGTTGTTGTTGTTGTTGTTGTTGTTGTTGTTGTTGTTGTTGTTGTTGTTGTTGTTGTTGTTGTTGAACATTATTTATTCTAAAGAATAATTATTGTTGGGCCCCCTGGTGCGCGCCCCCCCTGCGCCGCCTAGGCCGCAGCTACATTTTCATCATTTTCGTGAGGAAGCCTCAGGTAAAAGATGTGATCCAGATCCGGTTGTTTTGTTGTAATCCGCTTTCCCTTGCAAAAAACAATAGAAAATGACATTTCTTGTTCTAATATAATCAAATTTCAAGAATCCCTTGCAAAAAATAAGGTAAAGTGGACATTCGCGCGCGCAAGACGAAATCCTTCCAAAAGCTTAGTGTTCGGAGCGATTTTAACATAAAAACATCAAAAAACCAATGGTTTTTCAACAAAAAAATGTCAAAATCTCATCCCGCGCGCTCTTGCGGATTCGTAGGAAACCCAACACTTTTTAAACATTTCTGTCAAACGGGCTTTTGCGAGCAACTTTTTCGAACTTCTGCGACAACGGTTGCGCACCTGCCAGGGCCATCATCCCTGTCAAATAATACCATGCGGGACACATTCGTCTCTCTGTATTATGTATTGTATGGCACAATTGCACCATGCTGGGCACATGCGCGCCCCGAATAAGTGACCAAGTTCTGTGGGTGTGTACCCCACGCCAGTGTAGTAGCCACGGTCGTCCGCACGCCACGAAGTGAAGTGTCCCAACGTCATAGGGCGGGAAGCTGGGTTTGGGTGGTCGCGAAGAGTCGTTTGGATATTTGGTAGAGCTTGTAATGCCCCCCCACGAAGTGGGGGTATTGCCTGGTGTCGTATGAAAACCCTGGCACTGGGGAGAACACCACGCGTTCGGGTAAAATGATTGTTGTTGTTGTTGTTGTTGTTGTTGTTGTGGTCGTTGTGGTCGTTGTTGTCGTTGTTGGTGGCGGTGGTGATGCATGCGGGCGACGCAGGAAAGCAAGGTCGTCCGCGCCGCCATTCGCGCGCACGCTGCCCGCGCAGGGTCGGGCGTGAGCGCCCTCGCTTCCAACAGGGCGTGCCACGGTGGCGGCCCGCGTCAGCCGCCGCGTAAGGTTGCTGTGCCATCTCGCGTACACCCTAGGCGATGCTTAAGAAAACCTAAGTTTTCGTCCAGAGCCTCGATTATTCTTAACGTTTCAATACAAATCTCAAGATTTCAATAGAGATGTTGGGTTTTTATTCAAGTTCTGAGACTATGAATTTCTTAACCCATGATTTCTTCAGCATTTCGCAGGGTGTACGGCCCGTTTCTTCTCGTCGCTCGTGTGGTCTTGGCTTGCGGCGGGGTCAATTCTGGGGCTGTCGGCGCAGACGGCGCCCCCCCATTTGCGGCGACGCAACACGGAACGGCGACGGCGACGACGACGACGGCGACGACGACGGCGACGGCGACCACGACGACAACGACGACGACGTCGACGACGACGACGGCAACGACGACGAGAAGGACGACGAGTGCCGCCTTCCTGTCTCCCATCCCGAGCGGGACCCGCGCGGTTAGCGAGCGAGTGGGCTGGGGCCTGGAGGCATGTCCGAGCCCCCGGCCAAGCGCGCGAAGGCGGAGGCTGCAGGGGCGGGCCTGCGACGGGAGGAGCGACGGAATGGCTTGCTTGGCGTCCAGCGGGAGGAGGAGGGGATGGAGGAGGGGATGGAAGAGGGTGTGGATGGGGGAGGAGGAGGGGGTGGAGGAGGTGGAAGGGGTGGCGACGAGGATGCGACGCTGGCTGGAGCGGACGCGCAGTGCACTGCACGACACAAGGGTGGCGAAGAGGAGGAGGAGGAGGAGGAAGAGGAGGAGGAGGACCAGTGTGAATTCACCAACGATATTGCAATCAACCTTCCTTCCAAAATCCCTCTTCAAAGGCTCCTCCACGGGTTCATGTTCAGTGAAAGAAATGCCTTGTTGGAAGACAACCGTTTGAAAATCCGGAACTGTGCCAGAACGCCATCGATGGGATGTTAGCGCCGCTTGGGATTTCAACACCGCGACCCAACGTGACGTTTGCGCTCTGACATTCCGACATCGTGCCAACAAAACCGTTTCTGTGATGTTAACCATGGTAATCCGAGAAACCTCCGCAAATTCTTAAAACGATTGTGCGCGGCGCTACGTCCAGAGCTACATTGTGAAAATGAACCGCTCTATATATTTGTGAATGTCTGGCAAACTTTTAAGATGCACGCGGCGCTAAAGCGAAAATCACATTTTGAAAGTGGACCGCCCTCCATCCGTGAAGCCTTTGCATTTTTTACGGCGAGTGCGCGCGGCGCTAAGTCGTCAGCCACATTTCGAAAACCGACCGTCCTCCATCTGTGAAGTTGTTGAACATTTCAAGGCGAATGTGCGCGGCGCTACGGCGAGAGCCACCTTTTGAAAGCGGACCGCCCTCCATCCGTGAAGATGTTGCAATTTTCAAGCTTCAGGATCATGAGTTGTGAGGAAGTTCCACGCGAAACGCCCCGCCCGCCCTTTCGACCAGCTTCGGGGGGCGACGGGGAGGAGTTATCCATAACACGCGGCGGATCTGACGTGTGGTGCGCTCGTGGGCGCGGTCCGGGATGAAGCCATGATCGCGTGGGACTTCGACGCGGACGCCGCGGCTGTTGTCGACGACGGCCCGAAGTTCTGGGACTCCATGCGCCCTCGTGCGCAGACATTTTTTGCATCTCGTGGCCACAAAGTGGTAAGCAACGGCAAGGACTATCTAAAGATCTTGCCTTCCATTCCAGTCCTGGACAGCCGCGGTGAATTCCGCGAGGCGAAGACCGCTGTGGCGAGGGGCAATATTGGCGCGCCCCTGTCCCGAGGAGCATTATCGCACGCAGCCAGCGTCAGGAGGTCGCCAGGGGATTTCGCATCGACAGGCGTAACTGCTTTGGACATCCATGTGGTGGCTCTTTCGAGAAGCGGAGGGGTGAAGGAATGGAAGAGAACCTTTCCCCGGGTCGCGGCGCTGTGAATCCCGCCTGGTCTGGGGGAGCCAGCGCGGCTACCGCCCCGACGACGACCTCTGGAGGGCTGCCATCGCCCCCCGGGCAAGGTCTCCGAACGGCCCTGGGTGCTCCGGTCGCCTACGCGTTCGTCGCGGCGCTCTGGCTCGACAGTCTCCGCTGTGCCGTTCAGCCCGAGGAGGGTCGCCAAGGCGCTGCCGGCCCGGGTGGGCGCCCTGGCCGCCGCGGAGTCGGCCGCGCGGAGCAGCGCCAGCAACGCCGCCGGCGGCGTCGACGCGACGCTTCGGGCCCTCCGTGGAGGCGATGGGGGCTCGATGACGAAGCAACGACGTAAACGTAAACTTTCGTAGGTCCGCGATTGGCATTTCGGCTTTCTGTAGTGTGACCTCGTATTTCGTTCCGCCGTGAACCTAGTAGTAGCAGTCGTAGTAGTAGTAGTAGTAGTAGTAGTAGTAGTAGTAGTAGTAGTAGTAGTAGTAGTAGTAGTAGTAGTAGTAGTAGTAGTAGTAGTAGTAGTAGTAGTAGTAGTAGTAGTAGTAGTAGTAGTAGTAGTAGTAGTAGTAGTAGTAGTAGTAGTAGTAGTAGTAGTAGTAGTAGTAGTAGTAGTAGTAGTAGTAGTAGTAGTAGTAGTAGTAGTAGTAGTAGTAGTAGTAGTAAGTAGTCAGTAGTAGTAGTAGTAGTAGTAGTAGTAGTAGTAGTAGTAGTAGTAGTAGTAGCAGTAGTAGTAGTAGTAGTAGTAGTAGTAGTAGTAGCAGTAGTAGTAGTAGTAGTAGTAGTAGTAGTAGTAGTAGTAGTAGTAGTATGTAGTGCGTCGTACGCAGTACGTAGTACGTAGTAGTAAGTAGGGTGAGGTGGGACGATCAGGAACGACTGCAGTCACACGAGTGTGCGTGCGGAGGTGTGGGTGTTGTTGCGGGAGTCCGGCATAAGGGACACGGGACCCGTGCGCACGAGAATGGGCAGCCAGACGTGCGCGCTGCTCGTGGACAGCCCGCCTTCTTCTCCTCCTCCTGCGTTCTCCTGTCTCCTCAGGCTTTCTCCTGCCTCCTCCTCTTCCTCCTCCTCCCACTCCTCCTCCTCCATCACGTCCCTGTTTCCTTCCTTTCCTTTCCTTTCCTTTCCTTTCCTTTCCTCCTCCTCCTCCTTCCCGTCCTCCTTCCCCTCTCTTCCGCGCTTCCTCCTTCACCCGCCGACTCCCTTCCTTCCCCCCCGGAGTCCCTCCCTCCCTCCCTCCCTGTGTCCCTCCCGCTTTTCCTCCTGCTCATTCCTTCTCCTCCTCCCGCTCCCTTTTTTTTTTTCATCACATCATTCCTTCCCCCCTTGTCCCTCGCCCGCGAGTGCAGGAGGGCTGAAGCCGAGGGTCAAAGCTGTGGAGCTTTGCCCTGTGGAAGGCGACTACAGTTAGTGCGGCTTCCGCACCCTCAGCACCATAGTCGTAGCCATGGCCCTCCCGTGTTATCCGACGGTGCGAAACGACTGCAACCTCGCGAAACATCACGACCGGAGCCTCAGACCCCCCACCTTTTCTGTGCCACTTTTCGGGCTGGATCGATCTGTGAGGGCCCCCGGGGCCCGAAACAGCGCGACAGCGCCCAGCGCGAAAGACGCGTGACGCCAGGATCTCAGGGTCCCTCCCTCCTCCTTTTCCCCGTCCGCCCCCCGGCAGGCCAGCACGGAGCGGGTGGCCATTCTCGACGCAGGCGCCCAGTACGGCAAGGTTATCGACCGCCGGGTGCGCGAGATGAAGGCCCCCGCGGCGCCCGGCCCCGGAGCTCCCCCGCCGCAGCGGCGCGTCGGATGTGGGGGCTGGAGCGAGCCCGAACCGCGAGCGCTTGCCTCCCCAGGCCTCCTCTCGGCGCGCGAAAATCACGACGGGCGGCTTTTGCAAGCCTTCGGCAATCCCGACGCCGGAGTTCTGGGCCTGGGGCTCGCAGAGCGGGGGGAGGTCATTCTAGGGGTGGGGCCAGGGAACCAACTCAGCCCGGTGCTCAAGCTTCCTTCGTCCAGGGGCTGTTCATCGGATGGGGCTGGGACGAGGATAAATCCGTTCCAAAGCGTTCCAGAACGCTCTGAGGAGGCCGCGGCGGCCGATGCATCCAGAGCCGCTGGATCTCGGAGGTTCTCGATTTATCCTCACCCGATTTTGCCCTCGTCCTGGCTTTGTCTCAGAGTCCAGGGCGGCGTTCTTCCAACCCCGCCTCGGCTGCTGCCCCGCCCCCGGCACCCCTCCCCCGAGAGCCGTTTTTTGTTTGCTTATTTGTTTTTTCCTTTTCCCCATATCCTAAGATGGGGTTCTTGTTATTACTTGGACGCCTCCTACTCCTCCCTCTTCTTCTCCCCCTCCTCCTCCTCCTCCTCCTCCTCCTCCTCCTCCTCCTCCTCCTCCTCCTCCTCTCCTCATACCTAGACTTACTCATACACAGACTTACTCATACGCAGACTTACTCATACTCAGACCTGATCATATTAACTTACTCATACTCAGACCTACTCATACTCAGACCTACTCATACTCAGACTTACTCATGCTGAGACTCGCTCATACCCAGACTTACTCATACTCAGACCTTCTCATTGTCTGACTTACTCAACACAGCAGATTGTGAGGATGTCTCAGGCGGAGCGCTGGTTTCAGCACCCCTAAGGGGAGCTGCCGAGGGGTATGACACGGTCCCGTTCGCGGTCGTTTTGTGGGGATGTCTCAGGCGGTTTGCCTGTTTTCTGTCCCAACATTTTTCGTTTGGAGAGCAGATTGTGAGGATGTCTCAGGCGGGACGCTGGTTTCAGCACCCCTATGGGGAGCTGCCGAGAGGTATGACACGGTCCCGTTCGCGGCCGTTTTGTGGGGATGTCTCAAGCGGTTTGCCTGTTTTCTGTCTCAACATCCTTCGCTTGGAGATCAGATTGTGAGGATGTCTCAGGCGGGGCGCTGGTTTCAGCTACCTAAGGGGAGCCGCCAAGGGTGCTTTCACGGCTCCGTTCGTCGCCGTTTTGTGGGGATGTCTCTAGCGGTTTACATCCTTCGCTTGGAGAGCAGATTGTGAGGATGTCTCAGGCGGGGCGCTGGTTTCAGCACCCCTAAGGGGAGCTGCCGAGGGGTATGACACGGTCCCGTTCGCGGTCGTTTTGTGGGGATGTCTCAAGCGGTTTGCCTGTTTTCTGTCTCAACATCCTTCGCTTGGAGAGCAGATTGTGAGGATGTCTCAGGCGGGGCGCTGGTATCAGCTACCTAAGGGGAGCCGCCAAGGGTGCTTTCACGGCTCCGTTCGTCGCCGTTCTGTGGGGATGCCTCTAGCGGTGTGCTTGTTTTCTGCTTTTGCGTTGTGTCCCGAGTGGCTCTTCCCGTTGCGTACGGCGGTCAAGGAGGAGTGACCAGGTGTTGCTGGCGCAGAGCTTGTGTTACCGTGGGATGTTGTTTTCTCTCTCCGTTGTGCTTTCCAATATTGTCGTCGTCAGCGGGAGAGGGAACTTGAGAAGGTTCATTCTCCCTTCAGTCGCGGGAAAGGAAACTTGCAAAGGTTCACTTCCCCGCATGCGATCGAATTGGCGAGGGAACTTGAAAAGGTTCACTCTCCCTCTTGTGGTCGGACTGAAGGGGGAACTTGAAAAGGTTCGCCCTTCAGCCGCGGGAAAGGGAACTTGCAAAGGTTCACTTTCTCGCTGACGTTCGAACTGGAGAGGGAAGTTGAAAAGGTTCTCTCTACGAGTAGGACGATTGAGGGATGCGAGAGGAGGAGGAGAGAGGAGCTTTGCTTCGTATTTGGTAGTACAGATAAACTAACGCAATTTTTATTATCTGACCGCGGCGGACCCCTCATAATTCTTCCCTCTCTGCACTAAACGATGATGATGAGTGTCATGATGATGACCATGGTATGGTGAGAATATGAAGTGAGTATGATGGTGATGGTGAATGATGGGTGAAAATGATGATGATGATGATGATGATGATGATGATGATGATGATGATGATGATGATGATGATGATGATGATGCTGATGCTGATGCTGCTGATGATGATGATGATGATGATGGTGATGGTGATGGTGATGGTGATGGTGATGGTGGTGGTGATGATGATGATGGTGATGGTGATGGTGATGGTGATGGTCATGATGATGATGATGATGATGCTGCTGATGATGATGATGATGATGATGATGATGATGATGATGATGATGATGATGATGATGATGATGATGATGATGATGATGATGACGGTGAGCAGATGATGAGGATGTCTCGAGCGGCTTGCTGGTTTTAGCATTCCTAAGGGGGGCCGCCAGGGGTATCTCGCGGCCTCCGTTCGCGCCAAAAATGGCGGGATGTCTCGAGCGGTTGCCTGTTTTGGTCGCGCAAATCCTTCGTTTCGGGAGCAGATTTTGAGGATGTCTCGTGCGAGGCGCCTCCTAAGTGGGGGGCCGCCAGGGGTATCTCACGGCCTCAGTTCACGCCCAGATTGCAGGGATGTCTCAGGCGGTTTGCCTGTTTTGGTCGCGAACGTCTTTCGTTTTCGGAGCTTCTCGCTGCGCTTCTTCCAGACCACCACCTCGAACTCCTCCATCTCGTCGAGCTCGCGCTTCACGCCCTCCAGCACCAGCTCTTGCGGGAGGACCTCGCCAGTGCACTGGTCGTGAAAGCTGCCCGCAAACAACCTCTCGTCGAAGGTCGGGACAGGGGCCTCCTCCTCACAGAGCGCGCCGAGAGTCATGGCCTCCGCCTCTGGGTCGGTGTCCATGGGCGCCCTCAGGGGGGGCCAGATTTTGTGGATGTCTCGATCGGTTTGCTTGTTTTGGTGGCCAGACTCGTGGGCGCAGATTCTCCCCAGGATGCCACAGGAGGCTCCAGCAGGCTCCAGGAGGCCCCAGGAGGCCACATGAGGTCCCAGGAGGCATCAGGAGGCCACAGGAAGACTCACGAGGCCACAGGATGTCCCAAGAGGCTCCAGGAGGCTCCAGGAGGCCCCAGGAAGCTCCAGGAGGCCTCAGGAGGCCTCAGAAGGCAACAAGAGGCCCCGAGAGGCCCCAGTAGCAGGAGGCCCCAGAAGGCAGCAGAAATGACTCCAATCCCTACAGATTGTCCTTTTTCCTGCGGCTCCGATCCGCAATGTTTTATGTACGTCTGTTACTATATATGGTCCAGGGCTTGGCCCCCCCCCTAATGCTGATGCCATTGCCCCCCC